TTTCCTGCAATAAAATGTTTAAATTTGAATTATATTTAAAAAAAAATTTATTAATATTCTAGATCTTATTGTTTGCATATTAATATTTTAATATATATTTTAGTTTAGTTGAATTTAAAATTATAATAATTTTTTTTAAAAAAATTATACATTAAATTTGTACATATTCTTCTTATGAAATTTACAAATAAGACAGTTACATAGTCTGTCTTTATACCATAAATGTAAATTATATTTAAAATTATTATTAAAATTCTAAAATATAATATAACTATAAATAGAAAAGTTTTGTTAAATAAACTTATGATAAAAAAGAAATAAGTAATTTCTTATAATTATTAGATTTTCATCAGAATTAGTTATATGATCTTGTAACAAATAAAAATGGCAATTTTGATTTAAATGATATACAATAATTTTTGTGTGATGACTATTAATTTATTGAGTAAATAAAATGAATAAAATTTATTGATGTAATAAAATTTTAATAAAACATCTACTTGAAGATACAATTTTAAATATATAAACTAGAATTTGCTCCGTGCCTCCGGATGAATGTTTGACTTAACTTATGTTCAACGTAAACTCATAAACTGTTCATTTTATAAAAGAAATCCCATGTATATTTTTTATGTTTTGTAATTAACTTATTAGAATATATTGTTTTATAATGTAGATACTGCTAATAATTTTTTTTATTTGTACATATTATATTAAAAATTATAAATTGATGCAGATTTCTGTAATTGTCTATCTATACATTAATATTTTTTGTGTTAATTTATTTAAAATGAAACAACATACCACATTTTAAAAAAAAATTTATTACCCGTTATTAATATGGTACAGATATTAACTAAATTGACCATACTAAAAAGGTTTTCTTCTTTAAATACATGCGATTTAGTTAATATACATACAATATTAATAATGATCAGTATATGAATATGGATTTGGTTAGATAAGATTTATAATCATAATTAATTAATTTAAATTCATTTTAAATGTAATGTCAGAATTTGTAAACAAAAAGAAATACAAAAACGGAAATACTTAATTTATTGCAATTATAATGACTAAATGTGTAAATAAAAGAAACCACTAAAAATATTGCTATTCATGTTTCCAAACAATTTTAATTTATAATGTTATCTATGTTTTCAAACATTACCAAAATGTACTTCAGTTTTAATAATATAGAGATAAGATAAACAAAATTGTTCATTTTACTTAATTAAACCAAAATGTAAATTAAATATTTTTAAGTCAAACAGAAGAAATAAATAAATATTTTTGATTTTATTTTTGAACTGATAAAATGAAATTTATCTTTATGTTTATATATATAGTTATTTTGAAATATTTATTTTTATGCATGGCATATGGAACCAACTAGTTTTATTCTAGAGAAGGTTAACCAAAAGGCAAAATCTATGTTAATAGTCGAAAAGGTTGAACTCTATACGTTGGTTTTTTATTTCCTGTAAACCAAAAACAAATATGTCGTTTTCAAACGGAACTCGCTAGGAAAAACCTACAAACAAACGGGAACCAATTTTTGCCGTGATGTTTGAGGGGTTTTTTTTTTTGAGGTTTTTTTTTTGAAAAAAAGTTAGTTTCAATTTACGTGATGGTTATAGGTAACTACATAATTTTCTTGGTAACTAGTTAGTTGAGATATGTTAAAAAAACTAGTTAGTTTAGGTACCTTCATTTAAGACATTTTATAGTTTTGTACTGATAAAATAATTGATGGAATACATAATAGATTGGTCACGAAACTTGTGGTCAAGTGGTGAGAAAACTTGTGGTCAAGTGGTGAGAACAGGTTTGCAACGTTAACGTATTTTAAGTTTAACTAGACGCACGACAGTGCGGGTTTTATTTTTCTTTTTATTTTTTTTGTCTTTTTAAGATGTATTTTCCAAAGTTATTTAATCATACTACAGTGAAATATTTTTAGTGGCTGTTAAAAAATTATTTATGTCCTATAAACAAACTAAACATCAGAGAAGTACAACCGTAGTGCGTATTTTTACATTTTGATAAATACCTATTTATTTGTATAATTGATAATATATATATAAAATTCACTCGTTTAAATAATTATTTATATGATATTTTTAAATACAATAATTTGATATTTTATAGAAGTAATTGTATTTTATCTTGTAAACCATCAATTGTATTATTTCTTTTTTTAATATGATCCGTATATTTGTAAAAGATATTTTTATATTTTTAGGAATCAAAATTTTATGATAATATATAAGAAAATTATTTTATATATTATTTAAAATATGTGGTGCTATATATTTTCTACTTTTCAACATTTAAACATATATTTTTATATTAATCTACATATTATATAAATTATTTTTATGATTTTTATTTAGTTATTACTAGAAAAATTATTTTTTAAAATAATATGTTGAATAACTATTTAAAGCTAGGTTTATTAATTACTTATTTATCTCCAAACACACATATATAGAAAAAGACAAAGAATACTAAAATGTGGGTTTATTGATTATTGTTTCCATAATTTTTAGTTAGATGCATTAATTAAATATAAAAAGACAAAGAATCATAAAAGATAGGTTAATTAATAACTTATATGTCTTGTAATAACTTAAAAATTGAAAGGATATTTTCTATGGGTACTTCTATTTTAATAAAATAGATTCATCTATTATGCATAATTAAGTTATAATGAAAAAAAAGTTGTATTGTTCTTGGACATTTACAAAGAAAATTAAACAAAATGATGCAATGAACAATATCTACTTTTAGATAGGAGTGTCAAAATGAGCTACCTCGCTCAACTTAGCTAAGCTTGCAGTGAACACGGATATTTTATGAGTTAGCTCAACTCAACTCATTTATCATATGAGCTTCAATATGTAAACTCGGATCATCTAGATCATGAGTTAAATGAGTTAACTCGTGATCAAATATAATAAAATAAAATAAAATAAATAATTGTATGATAAAATAAAATAAAATAAAATAAAATAAAATAGTTTTCATAATATAATTTAAAATTAATCCAAAACATTAATATTAAATACTGAATAAAAATAACACCTAATAATAAATTAAATCAAATCTAAATCAGTGATAAAATAAAATAAAATAAAATAAAATAAAATAGTTTTCATAATATAATTTAAAATTAATCCAAAACATTAATATTAAATACTGAATAAAAATAACACCTAATAATAAATTAAATCAAATCTAAATCAGTGATCCGAAAATCTCTTCCACATTAGAGTGTTGAGTTGATCCATATTCAAAGTCTTCCTATATTCAAATTACAAAGATATATATATATATATATATATATATATATATATATATATATATATATATATATATATATATATATATATATTCTGCATGATATTTTGTATATACTTATAATTTTTTGGTTTTATATTTTAATTTTAGAAGATAAATACAATTAATATAGAAATTATCGTTTCTTACATAAGAAAAACAGTCATATATATTAAGTATAAAACGACTAAGCTTATGACTTAACTCATGATCATTAAAGATCCCTCATATAACTTATGATCTAATTTAAAAGCTCATTTATTAAATGAAGATATCATGTTCATGAAAAATCGAGTTAAGTTGAGTTAGTTCATGAGTTAGAAACTTATTTTGACACTCCTACCTTTAGACAGGGAAAAATTGTAATGTCTCGACTATTCATATTTAATTGATCTCCTATGCTAGTTTATTTGATCGGTATGTATCATATTCTCTGTAATGGACGATGCATAAATTTTTTTAAATTTGATATTAACTTTCTAATCACCACATTACATTTCTTTATGTTTATGTGTTACTTATACAATATCACAAATCATTTCTTGTACGTTCATCTATCTTTTCAATATCAAATACCTTTAATTCTATTAAAAAAAAGTTTTGAATATATAATTAAAAAGATAAGTACCTTTTTAATAATAAAGATGGTCAAATGAACTGTGGTTCAAAACAACAAAATCAAATTAATTATATTATTATATACCACAAACTAAAATGTTATAATAAATTATTAAAACTTAACTGACCCCAACGGTATTTCCAGTGACCTTTACGTTCTTTTTTGATCAAACGTGACCTTTACGTTTATGTACAACCTTCTAAGATACGCTCACTGACTTCATATTTTGGCCAGATGCTTGACCTTGCCGTACTTTTTACCCTGATATCACAATCAATTATTAACAAAAAAAAAATTCGACGAAGTTACCTTTTCATAATGTTAGTAAATTTTTCATTTCTTTTATATAAATGATAAAGTAACTCACATTTAAAATTTTAATGTGAATGTACGTACGTCAGCTGAGTTAAGGATTTCAAATTCTTTTTTTTTTTTTGAACAACAGGATTTCAACTTCATCATGCATTTTTTGATAAAATGAGGTAGCTCACTACCTATTGTCATGGTATAGTGGCTAACTCATTCGACCAAAAAAAAGTGACTAGCTCATTTTCGTCATCGATCAAAATTTTAAATATAAGTGATATGCGTGTTTGGTTCTCTAAACAATACTCATTCCGTTTCATATTAAGTGTCGTTGTAGAGAATTTTTTGTGTTACAAAATAAGTGTCCTTTTCGATTTTCAATGCAAAATTTATTAATTTTATTATGTAATTAGTTTTTCTATTGGTTAAAATATGGTTAAGTGTATATATAACTGTGTTTTTATATAGAAAATATGTAAAATTAATTATTTCTTTAATTCGTGTGCATAGCTGTAGAGTGACACTTATAATGAAACAGAGGGAGTAGTTTTTATGACTTAGCTTATTCATAGTCAATATATACAGCTTTTGAAGACTTGCCCAATCCTAAAAACACTCCATTACAAGATTCATCCACACATGTATATATACATATTAGCAGGTTGTGTGTAATGTATCCTTTCATATGCTATCTACCCTTCCTCCTTTAAAATTTGATAAACTCAAAAGAAAAATGGAAACTAAAATGGTTTCAAAAGCCAAAAGACTTCACTTTATTTTGATCCCTCTCATGGCTCAAGGGCATCTAATCCCCATGGTTGATATTTCCAAGATTCTTGCGCGACAAGGCAACATCGTTACCCTAATTTCAACCCCTCAAAATGCTTCAAGAATTGCGAAGACAGTTGAACGTGCGAGATCAGAGTCAGGTCTCCAAATCAACGTGGTGACATTCCCAATTGCCTACAAAGAATTTGGTCTTCCTGAAAATTGTGAGACTCTCGACACTTTGCCCTCCAAAGACCTATTACGCAAATTCTATGACGCTGTGGAAAAACTCCAGGAGCCCGTAGAAAACTTTCTTGAGCAACAAGAAACCCCTCCAAGTTGCATAATCTCTGACAAAAGCCTTTTCTGGACGGCCAAAACCGCGAAAAGGTTCAATATCCCATGGATTTTGTTCCACGGAATGTGTTGTTTCACTCTTTTAAGCTCCCACAACATCCATCTTCATAGCCCGCACCTATCTGTTTCTTCAGACTCGGAGCCTTTTACAATACCAGCAATGCCACATAAGGTCGAGATAGCTAGATCTCAGTTATCTGGTGCCTTTAGGAAACAAGCAAATAGGGATGACGTTCGCCGCGAGAAGATGCGTGAATCTGAAGCAGAAGCCTTTGGAGTTATTGTCAATAGCTTCCAGGAATTGGAACCAGGCTATGCTGAGGCCTACGCTGAGGCCATCAAGAAGAAGGTATGGTTTGTTGGACCTGTTTCTTTATGCAATACTCGTATGGTGAACTTATTCGATAGAGGAAACAACTCTAACATTGCGATTAGTGAGACCGCATGCTTGAAGTTTCTGGATTCCATGAGACCAAAGTCTGTCTTATATGTTTGTCTAGGTAGCCTTTGTAAACTTATACCTAATCAATTGATAGAACTAGGGTTAGGGTTAGAAGAATCTGGAAAGCCCTTTATTTGGGTGATCAAGACCGAGGAAAAACACATGAATGCGATAAATGAATGGCTAAAACTTGAAATGTTTGAAGAGAGAGTTAAAGGTAGAGGGATAGTGATGAAGGGTTCGGGTCCTCAGGCTATGAAGCCTATGATACTCTCACATGGCTCGACCGGAGGGTTCTTGACTCATTGCGGTTGGAACTCGACGATCGAAGGGGTATCTTTTGGTGTACCAATGATCACATGGCCGATGTTCGCTGAACAGTTTCTCAATGAGAAACTTGTAGTGGAGGTCTTGAAGGTTGGGGTTAGGGTTGGTGTGGAGATTCCTGTGAGATGGGGAGACGAGGAAAGAGTTGGAGTGTCGGTCAAGAAAGATAGTGTTGTGAAAGCTATAAAGCTTTTGATGGATGACGATTGCCAAGATGGAAATGAAGATGGTGAATTCTTGAAACGAAGGAAACGCATTCAAGAACTTTCAGTAATGGCGAGAGAGGCTGTGGAAGTGAAAGGATCTTCGAGCACTAACGTTGCAATGTTTATCCAAGATGTCTTAGAGAAAGTGAGTCTCGAATAGAAAATTCTAAGGTACTACAGTATAAGCTAATGTAAAAGACAATGTTAAACTATTTTAGTATCTTGAAAATGCTACTTTATTAGTGATATGATAATTTTGGATCTTTTAAAAATGTAAGTTGGCATACATATTGATAAAAATGTATTCATTATAGATAAGAGGTCTATGATAAATTGCAAAGCTTCTAGAAATGTAAGAAGCATACATATTGATGAAAATTTATTCATTAGAGATTAACAAAGATGTATATCATATACCGTATATGATAATTTGAATTTTTTTTGTTAGTAAAATGATAAATGCTATAACATTACTTCTGAAACTCTAGGATGGTGTAGAAGTAATCAATGTAGAAAGGTCAAAAAGAAGAGAATCCAGCAGAGAGACCAAGCTCTTTAAACTCTTCTTCAGTTCTATGCTTATCTTTGGTCCTATAGATTGTCATAACAACTATGTCGCCTTCTTGCAAGGCACGGGTTCTATGGCTGTCATCGGTTTCCTTAGGCAAGACTGGCTCACAAGCGATTGGCTTTCCTCCAACCGGTAAAGCGTTGTAGCAATTTTTCATTATCTGCTTGCATTCTTGATCACTCACTGTGCATTCAGACAACACAAAATTACAAGATATTAACTGGGACAGATATGCAAATAATATGTAACCGTTTGTATTGTTCTATCCATATACATCATATTTGTTATTCATAAATATGGTTCTAGCAAATATATGGCTTCCACAATTAGATATATTGAGAAGATGGTGAATTCTTGAGAAGAAGGATACACATTCAAGAACTTGCATTAATGACGAGAGAGGCTGTGGAAGTGAAAGGATCTTCGTGTACTAACGTTTCATTATTTATCCAAGATGTCTTAGAGAAATTAAGTCTCGAATAGAAAATTCTAAGGTACTATAAGTAATAAGCTGATGTAAAAGATAATATCAAACTCGTTTAAAACAAGGAAAAAAAATGCAATTTTAGTATCATGAAAATGTTACTTTATTAGAGATCATCAAAGAATTCTATCATAATTTTGAAGCTTTTAAAAATATAAGTTGGCATATACATATTGCTGAAAATGTGTTTATTAGAGAGTGTTTATTAGAGATAAGAGGTATATGATAATTTCAAAGCTTCTAGAAATGTAAGAAGTATACATAGTGATTAAAATTTATTAATTATAGATTAACAAAGAAGTATATGATCATTATGGAATTTGAATCTTTTTAAAATGAAATTACGGTTCTATGGAAAATATAGATATGGATTTTGACCTAAACAATTTATATATGGTAATTTGATGATAGGTGACCGGCTACATTTTGAATTAGTCGGAAAACATTATAAATGTGATAATCAAGTTTATTTTTATGGAAGCACCGTAGCTTATTGGTTAAGGTTTAAATGCTTCTACACCATGTCTGGAGTTCGAATCTCAAGCTATGCAGTTTCTACACCAAGAGGGCTCTAGGGTGTCGGCTGTAATATCGTCTATATAATATTTTTTTATAATTTGTAATATATAATTATCTAGTGTTAAAAAAATCAAGTTTATTTTCTAATATTATAGTCTGTTTTAGAAGGCTTTATTTGACCCACTACTCTTATAAATAATTATTTGTCTTTTGACCCATTGCATGATGCTTATTTACGAGAAGTACGAGCCATGTTCTGTTCGATGTTTTTTTTTTTTTTTTTAACACTAGTAATATTATTAAAGGACAAAAGTCCAAACACTTACATAAGCCAAGATCAAGGGAACCAAACATACAAACAACATATACTAAAACATAAGATCTCCACACTGACCCATCTTACAAACAGGCCCAATATTGATCTAAACAAAACACGTGATGTTTACGTGTTACACCAAAAGAGAAAAGAGAAGACACGTGGTGGTTCCTCAACAAAACGCGTCTTGGGGCAACACATCACCTCCTTCAAAAGAGGAACATGCCGGAAACTGATTGGCGTTTCATCGGGCTTTGCCGAGAACAGGTGTGTGCCCCTCGAACTACTTCATCACTTATGCTTCAAACACCAGAGAGAGTCATCGACAAGACGAGATCTCATCCAGTGTGTAGGTCATCAAGCGGATCTCCTCCTTCACACATCTTCAGAAACTTGATTTCAGACCATGGAGAACATCAATCGATTAAATCGAGATCTCATCCAGTCTTCAAGCCATTCAAAACCGAGATTAAACTCTAGAAGTATAGATTATCTAACCCATAAACCGAACGTTGGTGAAAATCCGGAGATTTAATCACCATCACAGATCATTCAAAAGCCGACATACCAACACCCAAAAAGAAGATGTGATCTCCGGAGTCAAAGCCGGTCGCCCATCAAAGGAAAAATGCGACACCAGAGTAGAGCCGGACATGCAGCGATGGCGGATCATGCTGGAAAACAAGAAAGATTTAGAGGCCGGACCGACGGTGGCTGTGGAAGCCCACCCCGTCGGCCGGATTCACTGTTCTTACGGTCGTTTGCTTTTAGAGAGAAGATGGAGAGAAGAAGGATTTTTTAGTGGTTTTGCGAGGAAAAGTAATGTTCTTTTCGATGTTTATACAGTATACCCTCTATTAAATTAATACTCTACAAATTAATATACACTAATAATCTCTATAAATAATATAATTTTATAGTTTTAAATTGAGTTTTTAGTTCAGTTAGTATATCGATAAGTTAATAATCTCTATAAATTAATAAAAAATATAGTTTTAATGTAATCCCAATGTTATTAATTTATAAAAATTTCACTGTATTTGTTTTCTCGTTTACGTTGGGAACTTGGGACTATCGAGAAGCAAAACTCAATTTAAAGTCTTCTTGGAAAAGTAAAATCTGATATTCATAAAGACAGGTCAAAACATATGGTGAATATAAAAACTCTATTAGTAATTATATACTAGATTTTGATCCACGAATCGTACGGATATTTTTTTTTTACTTTTATATATATAAATATTTGTTTTAGAACATAAATGGTATAAATTGTTAATGTTAATCATATACTTAAATGTTTATATAACTATTTCAAATATAATAATTTTATAATTTACATGTTATATTAATCAATTGTTAAAAACCAAATGTATGTGTCACTTTTTTTATAATATATTTATCTTATTGTATTTGCATTTCGTTATTAAGAAAATTAATATATTCATGAGAAAATATATTTGAAAATTATTTTATATTTAATTTATGGTAAATTCCAGCCGACCTTCAGAACTGGATTTTTTTACCAATATTTTTATGTTTATTCATTTTAGATAATATATTATTATCATATACAAAAGTCTAAGGTATGTTAATTTCTAGATATGTATTATATAATTTGTTAATTTTAAGCCGTTCTGTCATCATATTATATTTTAAAAATAAATAGTTTATATTTATGAAAATAAAATTTATAAATTTATAAATTTAATATACTTTTATCATATTTAGTTCAATATAAATTGTCTTTTAACATAATGACTATGACTATGAAGTAAATCATATAGGATATAATTTTAATTTTTCATTTATAACGATAATATAAAATACATTAAATTTTTATAAAATATTTTTACACAGATTTATTAGAACTTTTAAACCTTAATATATAAATATATATTTATATTTAAAATGAAAAGATAACATGATTAAAGTAGTTATAAAGATTTTATATTATTAGCTTTAATGAAATACATGTTAATTTATATACATGTATTATATAGTTTGCTAATGTTAACCAGTCTTACCAACATATTAGATTTTATTTTTGAACATAAATATTTTATACTTACGAAAATAAGATATATAAATTTATCAATTTAATACAATTTTATTATATATAGCTTAATATACTAATTTTCTTTTAATATGATTATGATTATATAATAGATAATATGATCTAATTTTTAATTTTTTTATTTTATAAACTTAACTGAATATATTAATGTATAATAATATTTCAAACTAATTTCGAAATTAGTGCAAATATTTAAAGATAATATCAAAAGTAAAGATCTAATAAAAATCTTTTAAAACAGATTTTTTAACATTAAAATACATATATTTATATTTAAACTAAAAAGATATCAAAAAATATTATGATTAAAGTATTTTAAGGAATCTATATATTATTAGTCTTAATGAAATGCATATAATTAAAGTTTCTAATGATAGTTCATTTTTTAAAAAATTCACACATGAATCAAAGTCATTACTTCTGTTTTAATATATAAGAATATATTGTGATCCGTGCTTTCAAAGCGCAGGTTTATGTTTGATGCAAAATTTATATAATCGCATTTCCTATACATGTAGAATGTGGGATAGACTTGTTTAGTTTATTGTCTTCATCAAACATAGTATTGTTAAAAATGCAGGATAATCTTTCAGTGAAAATTTTATATGACCGCATTTTTGTTTTATATAAAGAGACATGTGCATAAAATCCATAACTCGACGTCTAAACTCAATCTAAACAAAAAAAGTTGGATCCGTAACCGGTCAAAAATCTAAAATATATCAGAATGAGTTTTGTATGGTGGTACAAAACTCATTCTGAATCAAAGTGTTATTAGCCAGACCCGAACGAATAACCAAAAAAACCGAAAACTTGGAAAAAATTTGAATCGATCTGAATGTCCAAATTAATCATAAATATAAATATTTGAAACATAAATATCTAGTTTAAATATTCAGTTCTATATTTATTTTACAATGATATTTACATTTAATTATCCGAATTTAAATAAGTACTTTAATATCCGATTCTATAAAAATAAGTATTTTTTTTTGGTTTTAGATTTTAGATTTCCAAACCAATATAACCCGAATCCGAATGATATATGGTTACTTTATCGGTTTTAGGATGTGTACAAATTAGAACCAAACCCGATGTGTTATATTTGAATCTGATCCATACTTACAAACATGCTTACTTACAAATTATGACACTTATGATGTGATATAAATTAGTTTTAATTAAAAATACTCGAC